AACCATAACATATTTCTTACATTGGTAACAAGCTTTTAAGTAAAGTGAATTTGAAGAAAGGATTAGTTAATATGTTGACTGCCAACAAGTTAACTTGTAGGTGATTGTTTCTTTTAAGACACCAACTTAAGTTATTTTGTAGAACACAATCTAGCTCATAGTGTTTGATACAAACTTTCTAATACAATTTAAAACAGAATGATCAGTAAATTAATTCTGGTTAAGGAATAAAAAGTAATCATTAAGTCACAGAAAGAGAATATTTTTTTGAAAGAAAATTGAAAAATTAACACAATAAAACAGTATAATATATAAAATTAAAATGGCATCAAGAAATGTAAGATAGATTGGCAATTAATGTGTTAATATAACATCATTACATTACCTATTTTTAGAAATAACATGTAAGAGTTAGAAGAATGGTTTAAAAAGAAATAGAAATACAGGTATCCCTTGATAATTAACCCCTCTTTGCTACTGTGTATATCAAAATGGCATTAATCAAATACACAGGTACCTTGGTACTCGACCAAACAAACACTGAGTAATAGAACAAATTTTCATTTAATAGCAATATTTTTATTTTAGTAAATGAAAATAACAAATTCACCAGCACCTTATTTGCCAAGAAAAACACATCTATGTTAAGTAAAGATTGCTGTTAAAATCACATTATTAAAATTTCAGCCACATATAAAAAGGGATTGGTGCAATTAATTACACACATTAACCAAATCCTTCATAAAGCAAGGGATTTGATTATAATGGGCACTTATGCAATTTAGGGGGTATGGCTTTTGAAAGCTTTTCTACCATAAAATTAATCGATTCTAGACTAATTTGACTCAAACATTTCCAAAATACGTATAATTTTTGGAAATAATTCATATGAAATATGCTATAAACTCTCGGACGTGTTTCCTGATAACTTTTTTGCTGAACTTTGGGAGATATCACGTGATAGATCATAATATACTAAAGTATTTTTATTGTAATTAGAAATGACTTAGTATTATTATTGACTATATGAAGCAACAAAGGTAAAATGCTTGCTAATGACAATAATTCTATCATGATATACATTATGAAGATAAATATTAGTCAGATGCAACATAAGATGTCTAATGTCTTGATGTAAATAAATATAATTCAATTTTGATTTACGACACAGCTTTTTCCACGTCCGTCGTCCAATGTGCTACTCCGAGACAAAAACAAACTTAAGCAAGGGGTCTTTGAACGGTGCATACTCAGTAAGTATTCCTACAATTTTTTGTTTTAGCATATTTTATACAGATTATTCCAAAAATGTATGAATTTTGGAAATGTTAGTCACCTTAGTCTAGAATCAATTTAATTTTAAGGAAGAAAACCTTTCAAATAGCCATACTCCTAGTGTTGCCACCTTTTCAAAATCACTGACGGCAGGTGAGGTTAGTTCGAACAGAAGTTCCTGACGAATGCGCAATGTCATCTTGTAATGCAAAGAAGAACATGCTAAATCAGTTACAGTTAGGGACTAGGGAGACTTGGGTAGGAGTAATGTAAGTAACCTAAATTAAGAAAGAAGTACAGATGACTTAGCTCTATTGGAGATTAGACGTGTACCAATCGTACAAGTATAATGTGCCTGTATAGAAATTTTTGTTATGAAAAATATATATTTTTAAAATTTTAAGTATTTAAAATGTCATTACCAAAAAACGAATAGAATGTTAAAAGCATTTGAAAAAAATATAAAAAATGAACGTAAGTGTTAGCATATGTTTTGTCATATTTGTTCCATAAAATATTAATGCCAAAAAATTTATTTATAAATAAAAATTCGGTTAAAATTCTGTTTCTGTAAGTTTGTAGTGATTAAGTTATCTAATATAATTAGTTTGAAGTGGTAAAGTTTTCCTTAACGTATTAAATTTACGACGAACAGACATTCCGTATTACCAAACGCACGTGTTAAGGACCTATTTGAATAAAAACTGCTATAGTTTATTTTAGATACGCTTCAATCTTGAAATTAATTTTTGATACAGAATTATCTATTACTAATAATCAGTTTCAAAGTGAAATGCTTCGAAGAAAATTTGCTTTATAACATTTTGAAATTCAAGTTAATTTTTAATCTTACGGTAATATCTACGGTATTTTAATATAAAGAAACCGAATGTAACTTATATAAAATATATAGATAGATAAAATATATAAAATTGAATAGACTACTTTAAAATCTAAAAAGCTTTTTAAGTGATTGACCACGTGGACGTTAGGCTTAAGGGAAAAAAATATCTCAATCACAAAACTAAGTTATTACCAATATCTTGATCCTGGACCAAACTTTCTAGGATGAGAAAACCAAATATTCTGATGTCCCATATTTAGATATAAGTTTTCGGTCAACTGAGTATAAACAAATTGATAATATAATCAGCAGAATGCTAGGAATCACAAAAACCTTCTAACCTCCGTTTCATAGAAAAGAACAGTGTTGCCAGCTTTACAGGAAAGTAGTAATTTTTCGAAAAAGTAGCCAATTTTATCAGAAAATAGCCCAATATAGATATTTATTTACAAAATGTCAACAAATACAGATAATATGTTAATTACTGGTGTAGGTTACTTATTTTTTTATTTATAAATTGTATTCCTTTGTTCTCTTCACTACTGTTTCTTAACCTGGGGTGCAAAAGGCATTTCCAGTTGTTTAAATATTGTATCGTGAATTTTATCATAATTACGATTTAACATTGACCAACGAACTGATCTTAATAATGTTTAAAATAAACTGCAAAATTATGAATCTCTCGACTAGATTCTCATATTGTATATAATTGTATTTATATATCAATATATCAAAATAAAAATTTCTGTATAATCTGAATTTTGTGTAACATTTCATCAAAATGTGAAATATTTCGTACAAAATTAGTAATTATCATTACGCGATATGCAATTTTCAGCAATTTCGTTTATGAATTTTAATATTCCAATGTAAAAACTTATTTGTAGATATAATTTTTAAAATATATTTGTCACTTCCTGTTTCCAAAGCATTAGCAGAAGAGACCGGATGACCGAGCGGCCAAGATAGCAGACTACCGCTCTGTGGGACTCGGGGTCAAATAATTTCCAAGAATTTTTCGGGAGGGTAGTCCGACCGGATATGTCGTCCGTCCCCCACCACCCAGCCGCCCCATTGTGGACCTGGTCGAATCCATAATATGCTTGCTAAACATTGCTAAAACGAGGGCTTCTTAGTGTCCCAGGGCAGAAAGAGTTTAAAAAAAAAATTATTAGCAGAGAGATCGTTTACGGTCCCCAAAAGAATTAAAAAGTATGTTAGAAGTTCAATTGGACTAGAAAAATTATTAAATTTGGCATTATTATACATCGAGAATGACATTTCAAACAGGGTCGATTACAATGAACTGAGTGACAATTTCTCAGCACGAAAAGTGAAGATATATAATTTTATTTTCGTATAATTATAGTTTTTCCTAGGATTATTTACATATTAACATTGTAATGACCAAACAAAAAAATTTTAGACCGATTCAATCCTTTTCCTATATCGTACCAGAGACTGACAATATACAACACGAAGATTATTTATATTAATAGTATAGGATATAGGAAAGGATTGAATTGGCACAAAAATTTTTTGTATGATCATTACAATGTAAAAGGTAATTTCTGTTTATATACATATTATAAAAAATATATATATTGTCACACTTCGGTGTATTCCATTATATTCAGTCATTTCATTGTTTCAGAGATTTTATGGAATATAAATAGAAGTATGAAGTAAATAATGCTGTAAAATACAATTTAATGTTTGGCTCATAAACAAACATTAAGGTAAGAGTTTTGATAACTCTCATAAACATGGCAACTTCACAAGTGAGAAAAAACTTATTCGTCATTTGAAAATACAAGGAAGCGAAAAAAATGATGTATTCCGAAATGAAAATGCACATAAAAGATGAAAACTGAATTGTTATCTTCAATCCAAAACCTGTAGGCCTAAATAACCTCTCATATACTTCAATGTCAACTAAGAGAAGTACATTATCAGTATAAATTTCATCAAGGAAACATTTCAATGCCTTAATAAAGAAAGACAGAGACAGCTTATTAACAGCAGAAAAGCTACAGATACTTCATTGAAAGCAGCGTTGTGGATTTGTACAGTACATACGGACGAACTGGGTAAAACATCTTGCAGCAACATAGGATGGTAATGTCGGTTTGTTAAGTATCAATAGTTTACAACTAGAAAGTTTTAAACTGCAACATATATTTACTTTATACTCATACACTAAAGTTTGTATGTGTCAGACAAATGTTACTTTAATTGAACTTCAAATTTCAATAAACGTGAAATTAAAATTATATAAAGCTTTTATTTTACTTAAAACATATTAAATAAATAAAACTGCAGAATTTTTATCACTAAATTTAATAATTAAAATAGTCAATAAATTCATTCAATTGACTAACAAAAGACATAGAAGTGTAGGTTTTACACTTCTAGGTTTGACGTGTTTAAATATTCGCTTGTGATTGGCCACTGTTAAATATTTTTTGTCCAGAAATGATCTTTTAGTTTGAACTGTTTAAAGCAATACCTCTGAGTTCGAATTAACGAGTCTACTGTAATAACATTATGTTGGCATATATTCTAATGATAGAATTCAACTATATACAAATAAATCACAAAATTATATAATTCATTAGATGACATCGATCTGAACAGACAATCTCTCGAGAAAAAGGAAACTTCTAAGAGAATTCTTTACCTTTCTCTTAATTATTTTATAATATAAATTCAGTTTATAATAAGTCAACTAAGATAATAAATTATATACTGTAGGTTTGTATTTATAGAAATAAATTGTTTTCCGTTAAAAATTAGATAAAAATATGTATGACTAATCACAGGATATGTGAGGTAATTTTCCGGAAGCTGTAGCGATGTTTGCATTGAAACCAATGCAGAAGTAATGAGAATATAAAACTTTTCAATCTAATCGTATTACTTTCATAATTATTGATGTCTCATTTCAATGCCATAAATTTGAAATGAACGTCAAAATTATATGCCAACTGATATACACAAGGCTTATTATATTAGTGTTCATCTGTCATGAAGTTCGTAATTTTTCAGGTGAGAGAAGTTAAAATCTTTTTTAAAAGAATTTTTAAAACAATTGGTTTTTGGAATTCATATTTTAGATAAAATGTGTTTAGTATATAAATAATTAATAGAAAATTATAACAAAATAATTTTTAATTATATTGAACCAAAAGTTTTAAAAGATTTAAAAATAGTTTAATACAATCGTTACAACGGGTTAAATATATGTTAATTTTACAGTATAAATAATTACGAAATATCAAATATGAAGATTTTAATATAAATATAATTTATTGCAGGATGTCCACAGATTAGAATTAAGAAAGGATTTTATGATCAAAACGATGGTAAATATAAATGCAATTCTCTTAATAGTTATCTGTTTGGAAATGAAACATTAACATGCCGTGAGGATGGAAGTTGGGAAGGAGAAATACCTTTTTGTGGTAAGTTTTTAGCTTAAGGAAATACACATGATGATTAAGCATTAAATAGAAAATAAAATAAATACCCTAAAATCTTGGCTATAGGCGTTTGTAAATTCATCGCGTGTAGCCTATAAACAAGGGCGACTAATACATGAAAAACCTAATTGCTGGTAAAAACTTACTACAGTATAAAATAAAAATGCGATAAAATATATCGATAATAACCAGTAATGATAACTTTAAAGCCTTGGTGAAAATTAGTAAAAGTGCCCAACAAAGTGGTGTACCATTAAGTCTAGTACACAGCATGGTCAGATTTACAAAAATAATTTTTTACTTCAAAAGAGTATGTAATTCTAATATCATATTAAACATTTCTGTGAAAAACGCAAATGTTTACGATCAAATTTTACTGGGATATAAATTTTTAAAGTTGTTTTTACTTTTGAATCATGCTGTACAAAATTATAAAAATTTTTAACTTAGCTATAATGTATTATATCGTTTAGTCTAGTATAATATATGATTTTATATACTCTCAACAGAACACGTAGCTGTAACATTCCTCTTGTTACAGCTACGTGTTGATTAAACCGTTTCTAATTGATATTGTTTTGATATTTTGTATTTCAAGACTTTACTATAACAAATAATTTCTAGTTAATTAATCGTTTCAGTAAGTCCAATTCCTGTACAGATATTGAAGAATGGAATTGCTGTAACAGCTGAGATGTTTAAAAGATATTGCATAAGTTTGGATAATCATGAATTGTGGGAGATAAAAGTATTTAATAAAACTTTTTCTGTTATTAAATTAGTGACTAAAGGTAAATTTTAAGAATAGTTTAATATTTGTATTTCATTTATTGTTAATTTTAAATATGATTTGCAGACTACCGACAGAATAAACGAGAATGTATTGGTCCTCTTGAAGTTTTAACTAAAAATAACAAGACGTGTAGAGAGAGTGTATATGACTGTAAAAATAGTACGTAACAAACAACTTAAATTTTCATGTTCTGAATTTTATTGTTAGTGTGCAGGCCATATTAATTTACTAGGTTCGTTAAAGAATGGGTCTTTAATATTATCCAGAATTTTATTTATAAAAAGAAATTGCTTATTTAATTATAGTTTGCGAGAAAACCGATTTTTATAGTTCATTGTATAGTTCATAGATTCAATAATAAACCACACACACCTGATTTGTATTTGCCGAGTTATTTTCTTTATTCATTCAAACGTTTTCGGCCAATTTGTAAGGTTTTAACGTTGTTCGTTCGATGGAACCAATGATGGTTCCATCGAACGAACAACGTTAAAATCTGAAGATGGCCTATACAAATTGGCCGAAAACGTTTGAATGAATAAAGAAAATAACTCGGCAAATACAAATCAGGTGTGTGTGGTTTATTATTAAATAGATAGTATTGCTGAGAAGGTAGATAGATAGTTCATAGATTCATTGTGTTTTTTTACTTTGTCACATTTTATTATGCAAAATATTGTCGTCATTAATATGAAATTCATAGTGCATTATCCAACAGAATGTTTCGTAACTTCTTGCTGAATGCTGTTCTTATTTTTCACAAAGTCCTTGTTTACAGGAGCTCACCAATTGCTAGTGTTCAGTGGATAAAACCACTGAACACTAGCAATTGGTCGTGGGTTCGCGCCTCGCCAACGGGCTGACCAAGTGGAATTTTTCCGGGTTTTCTACAGGCACCTAAATAGCGGTCAGTTTCCCTTAAATGGTCTCCCGAGAGGTATTCTCCTTCGACAGATCGCCATGGCTATCTTGCCATACCTAAATAAACTAAACTTTATTTACGGTGAATTATCAACAATCAGAAGTTAGTAACGCAATATAGAGGATAAGACAAGTAAAGTTACGCTAGAGCTAGACTCTCGACAATAAAGTAAAATTTACTCTACGATAAATATTCATTTTTTTGTTCTGCCTGAGATCTGTGATGGTTTTACATCTTGTTGAATTTATATAACGTAACATAAATACGTCTTGCTATTGACTAGAGGACGATTTGTGAAACACGATGTAGTTTTTTAATTAAACTCTCCGTTCTGCGGATACTAAGAAAGGCCTTTTTCTAGTAAGCCCATTATAGTTCGACAAGGCCCACAATGGGGACAGTCGGGTGGTAAGGGACGAGACCCGACCTATTCGGAGGGACCATCCCCGAAAACTCCAGGGGTTTTTCGACCTGTCCGAATTCAGTCCATCAGAGCGATAGGCTGCCGCCTTGAAGCGCGATTTATACTGGGCGCGAAACGTTAACGCATCGTAAGTTAGATTATAACTAAGTCAATCGGCCATAACTGAATCATCATTTTTTAAACATTTGGGAAACACACATAAATATGAAAGTTGACACATGGATCTCTTTCAGCTGTTTTAAAACGTTTTTATACTATATAAAAATAATCATACTGTTTTATTACTGTGATCCATGCATCAATTCCCACGTCTCCTTCAATCCCTTTCATCTAATATAGACCCTTCCAGCTCAGGCTGACTCGTGTCTACTCTCTCTCTGAGCGGACTATAATACACAAACGCGATATAAATTACATGTAAACTGATTGAGATTGAGATGTTACTGATGTTGGCATTAGGCTATTAATATTAATTATACAGGCTTTTTTGTGCTGATATGCTGCTCTCTATTTACAAATATACAACGATTAAAATATCTCATACAAATACTGAGCAGGTATTACTGTCTTGTGGCAAACTAACTCAATCTCCATTAATTAAGAATTATTTTTATCCTTTGAGATAAAAATTAGAAACATTTCCATTATGAATATTTCCTCTTAAATAAATCTCTATTATATAAACTTTATTTTAATCATTTCAGATCTTACAGAGTCTATATATATATTTAACAATAGTATGAAAGGCGATATTAAATTTATTCAGCGACATCCACAGGACGATTTTTCTTCTATTCAAGTATGTGGAATCTACATTTATTCGAAATCAAGTAAGTTTTTTTTTTTTCTATATTGAGAATTTGTTTTTCAATAAAGTGATTTGTATGTCAGAAGTAAAAAAAATATATATAAAACAAAATATTTATCAAAATGATAACACTAAATTTTGTTAAAAGTCCAAGAAATTGCAAATAATATAAGAATATCGTTATCATGTTTTATGGCATATAAGACGCAACTCCTTATCCAGAAAAAAGGCTCAAAACTGTTCTGCGTCTTATTGTGTGAAGTTGCCATCTTCCGCAGGCTAACAATTTTCCCAACGGGCTTCAATAGGCTACAGTTAAATACATTAAATATTTTTTTCCTAAATATTTGTGCTAAAGGAGGGTGATCTTTTCAATAAAACTCTTTATTCAAAAAAGTTATTTTTCTTCTTGACAGACGAAGAATGTAACGTTTCACTAATAAACGTACCAAATGGTTATTTTTCTCCGAAAAATGCTAAAATTTTAACGTACGGAAAACATATAACTTTTTATTGTGACGAGGGTTTCCATCTTCACGGAATAAAGCATTTTTATTGTGGAGTGGTGAAGAGAAATATACCTCGTTGTAAGCGTAAGTAACAGTGCCATTTTTATTTTCTAATAGCAAAGATTAAAGGAAATAAATTTTCTTATCATTAAAAGAGACGATTTAAGTATTCGCCTAAAATAATATCTAACAGACAATGGAAATCAAATAAAAATTTATTCTTATGAAGCCGATTTATAATTGAGGTACTGTACATTTATTCTTATGAAGCCGATTTATAATTGAGGTACTGTACATAACTAGATTACAAGAAGGCTATTTTTCGTTTTTAAATATTTCCTTTCTTTTGCAGTTCGTTTAAATATTTGAAATTATTATTTCTGGATTTATAAATAAGTTAATAAATAATTGGTTTCTATTTTTTACAGAGAAGAAATTTCCAGTTCATTTAGGTATGTTACGTAAAAGAACACGAGTCAGATTTTTAGTAATATTTTTTATTTGTATACTTATTTTTGGAAATTTGAAGATAAATCCGTATAAAATCAGTTTCAATTATTCGTTTTCGCATCTCAGGAATGACACAACGAGATGCTTTCTTCCATTTTAGGTTATCGAAACAATCTAAAGTGAAAAAGTTCCATTTAGCATTACTCTTCTTTAAAAGTTAGATCCCAACTACCTCATTCAGAGCTGCATTTCTAATCAGCTGTTGACCATGCCCATAGGATTAAAAAAAGTCAAGGGAACCGACGGACTACGTATGACCCTTTGCAAGATAATCGGCCTATATGGAATTTTGAAGACAGTCAAAAATCAAAGTTTGGAGACGGTTCACTAGAGATCAGATTCCTATGAGTTTTTTGTCTCCTGGGAACCTAAAATTTGGAATCCAAACCCCTCACTCAGAACTACAATTTTACTAAAAGATAACTTTTAAAACGGGCAAAGAGAACAACATATTATATTCTTTAAATTTCTGGAATTCACTTCAGTTTTCTTATGAACTGTTCCTGAAATAAGGGAATGTGGAGTACGTGATTTTTAGATTTTGCATTAATGCACCCACAATTATCAGTATTTTAAAACTAACTATACAAAGGTCCACCAGTGGCCAAGCGGTTCCGTTCCCTGAACACTGGGAGTTCGGTCATGGTTTCGCGCTTCGCCAGGACGGGCTGGTCACGTGGAATTTTTCGGGTTTTTTTTACGTCTGTAACGCCTGAATTGGGACCAGTTATCTTTAGAAAGGCCTCTCAGAAAGCATCCCCTAGGCAGATCGACCAAGTGCTGCGTTGCCATAGATTAACAAAAACTAACTAACTACACAAAACAGTACTAAACACATTTACTTTTTTATGGGTGTTATATTTATATAATTAGAATATAAGACCAACACAAAAAAACAGTGTTTATCATAACCCTTGCTCACAAGCGTACTCTTGCTTGTGAGCAAGAAAATGTAAATATGAAAATGTTAATATGAAAATGTAAGATATATTCGCAGAATCACAAGCGTACTCTTGCTCCAGAAGAGTACATTTTCATATTAACAACGATCACAAACATTCTCCTGATCTTTCAGAATTCGTTTGTGATCGTAGTGTTTCACGCGCACCATTCTTTACACTTTATCCATTCTTCTGGAGGAGATTCTACATATTATTCATTGCAGATGTAACTTTGTTAACAGTTTTTTTTAGATTACTTTTGATAATTTGCTGGAAACTGTGCTGATTCCAGTTTCATTCATGTTTTTATATTTTTGTGGGACCAAATTTTGTTATCGTATAGTTCTTGCAGCATATTGTAAAATTTTGCTACTTGCAGGCGATTGAAACCCATTGCTCGAGCAACACTTGTAGCTTTTAGGTTGTGAAGGGATAAATATGGTCCATTAAATTTCTCTGCATTTTAAAGGAAATAATAAGCCAGTCTCTTCCAGCTAACTGAAGCTCATGATTGAATGAATGCATCAATTTATTCTTTTCTGCCAGCTGGCAAACTAGTGACTCTTTCATTGTAAGGCCATAGATCATTTTGTCTATTGTGTGCAGTATTGTGTGCAGTATCTGTTGATCTTGGTTAAAAATTTGCTTAAATCTCCAGAGATGTTGGAATGCAATTAGAATTCTGTAATTAATAACAGTAGGCAAATGAGCCAAATATATTTCCTTGTAAGGCATATTTCCATTTAAATTGAATTTGCTGATCTTAGTTAAATGAGATAGTTAGGTTCAAGTAACCAAGCTAGTTAAACCAATTCCTTTATTAATATTACTAAACAGTAAGTACCCTGTACGAATCCATACTTCTGCTCTACAGCAGAGTTTCTCAACGGGAGCGACATCGCCTCCATGTGGGCGTTTTTCCATGTTGAGGGGACGATTAGTAACAATTTATATTTTGGGGAGCGAAAAACAATTTTCTGGACGATATAGTAAATCATTATGTTAAGAATAATTAGATATTTTATTCGTTATATCGTACAATAATTAAACAAATAACATTATACTAGTCACCAGTCTATTCAATGCAGTACGAATTTGGCCCTCGACATCGGAATTTTGAAGGGGACGACACTACGTAACGGTTTTAAAGAAGGGGGCGATACTACGTTGAGGGGGGGCGAAGATTCGTTAGAGGTTGAGAAACACTGCTCTACAGAGTACTTTTCAAGTTACACTGGATAAGTTAATGGCATCGTGTTTGCAGCGGTAAACGAGTGGCATTAATAACAATCGAAAAAAAGGACATACCTTAAGCAATTGTTCTATTTACACACATATTTAAAGTAGAATCCTGAATTCTAAACACAGGAAAATAAGATCAGGGCATAGAAAAAAACACTTACCTCAAAAAACTAACAAGACAATCTCTGCGATAGTAAATCGCACTCAGTAGGCTAGATGTCCACCATCAACTTTATGAAGTGAAACGTTTAATGTTGCCAAGTAAAAGAAGGCAAAAAAAATTCAGTTCGTACTCTTGCTCGACATTCCCTTACGTGTAAATTACAGAATATCCAAAATTACTTTGAGATTTAATTTTAAGATTATTATTCAAATTTTATGATTTTATTAATAAAAATATCAGTTTAATTTTTTAATAATATATTTTACGTATTTTTAGTTGTTACAATTGTATTTGTTATCGCAACTATTATTATTATATCGATGGCTGGATACTACTGCATATTTATAAAAAGGTAAGAGTCAACACCATAAAATAAATTAACTGTTTTTGTAGTTTGTGAACATACCGGGTTACATAGCAGCCACTGTTATTCTTTGTTTAATAATATTATTATTTTTTAAGTTAATAGTATTCTAGTTATAAAAACTAATTTTTCAAATGAATAATAATCTATACTAATATTATAAAGAGGTAATGTTTGTAATGTATGTAAGTTTCGTTGCAGCAGGTAATCTCCGAAACTACTCATCCGATTTCAAAAATTCTTTCCCCAATATTTAAAATGGAACCTCAGGGTGGACATAGGCTGTATATTATTCCGTTAAACATTCATATAAATTAAAATATATAATCTAGGTTAAGGCTTTTATGTCCAACAGATGGCGCTACGAGTACGACGCCCTAAGTTTGCTTTTCTGCGAGGCATTACACTTTTCTGTGAAAATGAACTAAAGTGGATCATCATCTATCTATTTATATAAATAAAAATGTAATGTTCATTTGTTCCTACCGATTCCTTTGAAATTTTGACACAACGCTGCATTCGAATACGCACGTGTTTTTATATAATATACGTGTCGAAATCCCCCCCCGGGAGATGGACGGGATTAAGTCTTACCGTAAAGAACTCTGCTTCTATTTATACTATTTTAGATGCGGGTTTTTGCGTTTTTGATTGCGTTTTAATAGGGTACGTCAAGAGAATGTACTGTACACTAAGAAGAAATTTTTCGTAAAATTTCCCCCACAGGGGAAGTGTTATACATTTATAATAGATACATTTTGAGCCACAACAACGCGTGGCGGGGTCTGCTAGTTGAAAATAAAGAACTATTTTCCATTTATATGAAATACCTATTGACAGGGACGGATTGGGCATAGGGCAGTTCTGGCGCCAAAATGGGCATGTATTGTTAGAAATTGTATACTAAAAATGCCGTTTGTTGAAATTTACAAGTATTATTTATTAGTTATAGTCAAATATAATTGTCTGTTTGGATATGTCGGCCCCGTCCCTCGCCACCCGGCCGCCCCATTGTGGGCGTGGCCGAACCCATAATGGGCTTGCAAAAAAGGCCCTCATAATATCCAAAGGGAGGAAAGAGTTAAGGAAAAAAAGAGTCAAATATAATTGATTATGCAAATACATTTCATTTTATTTTCCTGCTCTCTTTCACCCATTTTTTTTTTTTCAGTTTCTTTTTGGAATATTAACATCTGACATTATTTAGTACAGTGAGCGAGTAGCTTTATGTGGTCAGACTCAAAATCATGTTCCAGTCTGCCGCAGCATATTGGCAATTATTGAAAGTACTTTTGTTTAGGCTGTTTTCCATGAATAAAGGCAATCTATGTAGACTAGTATTACATTCTAGTATTCTAATGATGCAACCAACTATATTAGCTATGAATCCATCAATGCCCAACTGCTGAGCTAATCTTTCTGCTGTTGATTGTAATGCGATGCCTCTTACTGGCAGTTTGTTTATCTGTTTACAATACCGATTATTGGCACAACACTAAAGCTAAGTTCCAAATTATAGCCTTCTTTTTGTCTTGTGAGATCTTTAATGAAACCAGAAACCAAAAAATGTATTCTTCACTGACAGCTTTATCACAAACTATTTAAAACTTGAGAAGAAAACACTTGCAGACAGTGCAGCAATACAGGGAAGCAAACTCACACAACTCTTCAAATTTTTGGGATTACATGGTATGCTCTCTTTAACCTTTTTAATTGAAGGAAATGTAGAATGTATTAATTTCAACCTCTCTACAACTTGGTAATTCTATCTGAATAGGAGCTGAAATAATTTTAGGCCTGCTTTTTTGGGATAGAGGTAGAAATTTATTGATGCACCAATGAGTAACCCATGTTCAATGATATATGAAAGCAAACATTGCTTAAATGAAGCTGACAGTTCTTTTTTGAGCTATTAGCCTGAATCCTTTTCAGGATTCACCATGTATATTTTGTTACTTAGAATTTTCCCACCCTATTGAACAGAAATTGTTCAATTCAAGTACTGTGTAAATCAAGGGTTAGAGATATTTGGAGATAAATTTATCATTTTTGTATGTTGGAAAAGCTATCTTGATTTGCATATACTGTATATAGCTGTTTTTGAAAATTATTTGGAAAATCTCTTGACTAAATTTAGCAGATAATTCTATGGCTAAACTGTCCTCCATTAGATAACTGTCAAATCTTCTCTTATTGAGGACTTGGCTTTCCCATAAACAAAACTAAAGCAGCCATTATAAGTTATGGTTCATGAGTAGTTAGTTGGAGGATCTTGCAAATAATCCATCACAAGAGATCTGGGTTTGATCTCTACTCTTTTTTGAATCATCTACTCTGGATATTCTGGTTTGATTCTGTTTCTGAGAGTTAGTCATCAGGAAGGATCTGATTATTATATGAAATGAATTTGAAGAAAAATGTATAACTTAATTATCGTGTAAGTAGCTTAAGACTGCTTTTTCAGTCCTGTGGACGTTAAGAGGGCCTTTATGTCAAGTACATTATGGATTTAGCCAGGTTACAACAGGGTATCTAGATGGTGAGAAATGGGGCTTGACTTATTCAGAATGAACATCTCAAAAAATTTCCAGAGCTTTTTAACCCATCTGAATTCATTCCCAGATTTTCCACCAGTGGGTGAGTGGGTAACATCAGCAAATACTAATAGCTGGTTGTGTGTTCTTACCTTGCAAACAGCTGGCTATATGAAGTTTTCTGAGTTTCCTTCACCATATAACATTTAAATAGGAGCCAGTTTCCTACAGAAATTCGTACCAGGAGGCACCTCCCTCTTGACAGATCATTCATGGGTTGCATTGCTGTATACCATCAATCCAATCTGTTTCCTGGTCCTCAGAGCTCTGTAGGCTGATGTCTTAACCCCAGGATCTCCATAGGACAAATAAGGCTTTGAAGCACATTTATTTGGTTCTGTACTTTGTTCTCACTCACATGCTTTGCTAACTTTTTGTGATAAGCCCTAAAATTTAAGTAACTAGTTAGGCTATAACAAAAAGTTAATGTAACTAAAGGGCAAAAAGCCATGAACAGCAGACATGTTTTATCATCAACATGTGAAAGATTGAGCATGACAGTCTAACACTGTTTTTTTTTTACAAATTGAGATATGTAATGTAAAAAATGCAGCACACTAGTTTTTCATATTTCATTGTTACAATTTTTTTTGTTTCCATCAATACTTAAATGGAACTCTAGTAATCTTTCATTATATTTAGAAATAGCATAATTAATACACAACAGCATGGCACTGTTAACTCAATTATACATAGAACTGTTGCTCTCAGCCTTTCATTTGAACTAATTCAAAGTTTACAAACTTTTGAAAAATCAACTAGAATAAATAGATCATGTTGCAAATAATTTTTATAAAAACCTGTTTAAAGAGCCATTAGTTAAATTTTTACAAATCTCTTCTGGAAGAGAATTTTGAAAGTCAAGAAATTTGAATGGGGTATATTTTCTATTTTTGCTTCTACATATCTTTGTGAACAAGCCTTTTTGAAAATAGAATATATAAAATCAGAATCTTGAACATCACAGTCTGACGAATATGTAAAGGTGATTTTAATATTGAGTGCACAAAATTTATCACTAATTTTCATGACATTCTTTTTTGAAAAAGCAGTTGCAAATTTCACATTGATTTATATCCATTGTTATTCAAAAATTTTTAAATTCTTAATTTTAATCTTTGACTATATCTTTCATATCTGGTTCTCAGACTTGTCTTTTATAGCTCACAGAGCCCTTCTCAGAAAAATGCTGGAAACACATCTTAAATCTTCACCATCTGACCATTAGCCTGTGGATGTTAAGAGGGCCTTTTCCACATACCCATCATTGGTTTGGTCGTGTCCATATACCCATAAAAAATTCTAGGGTTGTCTGCCCAGATTTGATCAGGAGTCCTCAGACTGGGTAGGCTTGAAAAATGTTTTCCATCTGACACCATATATTTAGCTACAGTGAATCAAGTTTATATTTTTAAAATGTGGCAAATATTTCTTAGGTAGTTACAGCTTTAAAGCCTCTAAAGAAAGGAAGACAATTTTTCCATACAATAATCCAATGTTTGCATATATACATAAATCTAGCATCTTAATATTAATAAATGGTGACTGATTCACAAACTAATGGCAGCAGATTTAAAAAAGTTTCAACTATATTAAATATTTAAATTAAGATATGAAGAAAACATAGAATATTTTGAATAAAAAAAAAACACATTTCATTTACATTTTTTTAATTAAATTGATTTTAAATATACAATTATTCAGGAAATACTATTAACTTAATTTTTGATAAACATAAAATGCATATCAATCATTACAATTATAAATATAATACTAAATAAACCTTATACATTAGATAGATAAAACAAAATTTCATATGAAAATTGAATCATAATTTGACAGAAATTGATAATCACACTTTTAATAAAACTGAATAATTACTTATTACATAAGTTGTATATAGTATTGTTCCCATTATAGTAATACATTTCCAATATTGCCATAGTATTAATTATTATTATGGCAGTATTTTATTATGTTTTTTATATATATATATCTTTTTTTTCATATATATATGCATTTTATATATTTTTTTGCCTAAAAATATTTGTATTTTTCTAGATGCAACAATCTATTATATTGTGTATATTTAGTTAGCAAAGAAGCAATTGTACAATTCACAAAATACATCAAATCTGAACACTTAAACGCATTTTATTTAGTTAAAGGTGCATTGAAAAGAGAAAAATTAAGATTATTTATCTTTATATAAATACTGAAAATTAAAAGAAAAAGCATTAAGAACTTTGCTAAATAAATGCTAAATAAAACAATTTCTGAAACTTTATAGCATTTAAAAATTTTTAAGCTTTTAAATTTCAGAAGAAAATTCATATTATATTTCGTAACAAATTTCAAAATGTGTAAGATTATTTTGATTACAGTAAATTAAAA